ATGTGGGATAATACTAGGTATGTTGTTGTATATAAGTACATTTAATTTAATAGAAATTTTATTATTTGGTATATTGTATTGACAAATCAAATGATAATTAAAATTTATAAAACAATACAATCTAATATGTTCAAATAACCACGGTCAGAATTTAAATTAATTCATATTTTTTAATATCAACCGCGCATCGAACGGGTATGATTACTAGTTACTGGTTGAGAGAATGAGAAATGGAGAGAAGCCTAATCCTCATCTTTTGCAAGTTGAAAAAGGATATCTTTTCTAACTAATAAAACAACGAACTTACTTTCCTTTTTAAACATGGAAAGGCGTTACTTCCCAACCCAAAAACTTTTTAAGAAAATTTTAATTTATTTCAAGTATATTCTTGGAATTTAGCTGTATAATATTAGATACAAGGAAAGGAAATAAGGGGTCAAACTGACAGAAAGAACAGAGTCAGAGATTAACTTCAAAGAGATTAAAAGCAGATAACTTTTTCTTTTCTGTGGTCCCCACTCCCAAAACACACACCAAGTGATAAATACAGATAGTAGAAGCCGAAAGCATAGGAGGAACTAACTTTGAATTTTAAGTTATTAGATTTTAAAATATTAATTTATATATATTTATTAAATTTCTTAATACAAATATAAAGTATAAATAAAAATTATTAAGTTTAGCCGAACTCAGGACTGAACCTTGTGGCTCCGCCCCTGACCGCAAGTATATCCAACTCCACGAAAAGCTTCTTACAATATAAACATGGATATTAGTATTGCTTTTTGGATGCAGAATAGATACGATAAAAATTAATTTACAGCGAATTTTTATATTAATTTTTAATTAAATATTATTTATAATTAAAGTAAAAATATATATTACGTAACTATCATTTAATAATAATAATATTTGTGACGTCATGCGTCATATTATATTTATTAAATTAGTATAAATATTTGATACAGATAAAATTTATGAAATAGACACATCTACTTCTCTTTTTCTATCTTTCATTCCCAAGAAAAGGCTTACTAAGCACCTGTCTCGTTAAGAGCAGCGAATCTTTAACACTTTATTAAAAAAAAAAAAATCCTTAACACTATACAACTTGCTGTTTGTTTGATCCTCTTTTAATAAACCTATTGGTCAGGAATTGAAAATTTTCGAGACAATATATTATCAAATGGTTAAACAAACAAAATGCCCATGCTTTAATTATTTACGCACCTTTACAGACTTCTTTAATTTTAAGTGAAATAAGATGTACCTTGTTAAAGAAAGAAGATGACAGGAATTAAATATAAAAGGATAATATAACAAATAATTATTTGTTTGCATGGATAAGGTTGGAGAAAGAGGGGAAATTTTGGGTTCATGAACTAGTGTAATAAAGGGGGAATGGGCAATCTTACTTCTTAGACATACTTGGTTTTGGCCAAACTTTCAGTAGACATATTCTTCACAGGTATCATATACTCCATCCGTCTCAATTAAGATATTTCGTTTGACTCTACATAAAATTTTAAAAAAAAGAATACTTTTAAAATATATAGTATTAAAAGCTTAAGGGACAAAAGTTTAATGGACCATACTATTTGTGTAATTATAAAAATTTCTCCTTAAAAATAAAGTAGATAGAATAAAAAGTGTAAAGTTAAATTATTTCTAAATATAGAAATATATCATCCTTTTTGGAATGGACTAATAAGGAAAGTGTGTCACCTAAATTGAAAGCACTTTTCTTGGTGAGCTAATAGAAAATTTCTTGGTGAAAGCACTTTTCACCTGTTAATGACCTGACTTAAAGAAAATTTATATTAGTCATCAGACCACTAAATTCGGAATAAATAGTTACAACACTCCCCCTCTCCCCAACCCCCACCCAACCACCCACCCACCAAAAAGGCTTAGGTTGGCAGCATAGAATAGGAATGTACTTTTTTTTGGTTTCTCATTTGATGTCTGGTACATGCATTGATACACGACTATAATCAGATTCGCGTCGCATAGGTCCTTATTTAGGGGGAAGCGTTCCCTAACTCAAAAAAAAAATATTTTATAACTCTAAAAGTTTTAAAAAGAAAAATAAAATTATTTCGAAGCGCTCCCTACCAAATATTTTTTATATTCATGGCTCGAACACGGACCTCTGGTTAAAAGAAAAGCAGTTCCATCCACCTCACTAGGGTCCTTTGGTGGTAGCTATGCATAATGCACTCTTTAAGAAAGGAGCTAGCTATATATGCAGTTTAGTTGTACGTACAATACAAATAAAGAATCTGCAACAACAAGTTGTTCATTTTAAAATCAAACTTCACCTTACTAGATTTGCAAAATAGTTCAGATTTAACAAAATACTCCCAATTCATTAGTACAAAAAGAATCGGGAGCATATAAGCTTACATTTTTAGACTGCAAAATTCAGAAAAAGTGAGTTATATTTACTGTAGTATTTCTTAACTATCGTAATTTCCCACCTACCAAAGGGAGAGTAATGCCCAGAAAACATACTATGATTACCCAAAGGATAAATGAGGAAACAAGCTACCTTAGTATAAAAGAAAGTTCCTTTGGATATTTGTTAAATACATTCTAAGCAATGATACAATACTTTTATATTTAAAAAAGTGACTTTAAATTTGCTTATTTATCCTTATGAGAAACTTTTACCTCTATAAAAATATTCTAACATGTCCATAAAATTCTAAAGAAAAATATTCTTAAATTCAGTGACGAGTTAAACTTAGTTTTGAATCGACGGAAGTACTTGTCACTAGTACTCCCTCCGCTTCATTTTAAGTGATTTTTTTAACCTTTTTTGTAATCCACACTATTTGATTTTTTCAGATATAAAAAAGAACTTAATTTTTTCTTTCCAAAATTGCCTTTGAAGTAAAGAGCCTAGGAATAATTTGTTATATTTTCAATGAGAAAATTAAAATTAATATGGCCATTTTTATTATTAATTAATGCTAAAACATGAATTCCTTAGAACCCGTTTGGACATACAAAATTTTTCTTGTTTTTCAAAAAAAAAAAAAATTGAAAACAATGTTTGGTTATCAAAATCTTACCAATTTTTTCAATATCACTTGAAAATGCATTTTCAAATTTGAAGTGAACCGAAAATGGGAATTTGCTACAAGGGGTTGTTTATTTCAAGTAGGATAATTAAATTGGGGTGGTTTTGATATTTTTTACAAGTTGTGGGGTATAAATCATATTTTATGATTTTGAAAAAAAGACATCCAAATATGTTACAAATTATAACAAAACACAACTTCATCTTCAATTCAAATTTTAGTGAAATTCCAAAATTAAAAAAAAATGGAATTCATGTCCAAACGCCTACTTAATATGTGTAAAAAAAAAACTAAAAAATCACTTAAAGTGGACCAGAAGAAGTATGCGGTATTATCATTTTTAACTCGCGTCAGAAACTATTTATATCTAGTAGTTGAAAAAGTGTATAAAATTTGTATGATTTTTGTATATAATAAACGAATGTGTGTGTGTGTATATATATATATTATACACTTTTTTCTATTATTTTTAAAGCAGCTATGGAGTGTCATTTTTTTTTCCCAGGAAGTATTATATTACAGGTGCAAAAAGGAGAAAACCCGCACTTAATGAAGTGAGAGAATGATAGCTATACAAGAAAGGAGAGTCCAAAGGTTGGGGAATTCTAAAGCTTAAAATGGATGATGCAAAGAAAAGGAAAGGTTTTCAACAAACCAAAAGAACTTTTTTGGCTTCAATATATGTTAGAAAAGGACTGCCCAAGAATGGACAATTCTTAAATAAAGATGTTCTACTGCATATTTCCATCAATAAGCATGAGAAGAAGAAGAAGAAGAAGAAGAAAAATAGATCAAGTTGGAAATTAAAGGCCCCAAAAAAGGGAAAAATAGAAAATAAAATCACTTTTATTTGTTGGCCTAATATTAGTCTGATATACAAGTACAACCTTCCTCAAAAGACTCTTTTTTCTGCCCAATTTCGTCATCTTAATGGTAGTAACCAGTTAATAGTACTTTCAACATTTTTTTCTACGTTTTCAGAAAAAAATTCAATGCGAAATCTGCATTTTGTCACTATATTTGTAGTTACTTCCAACTTCATGGGTTTGATTTGACCAAACTATCCTTACAACCTCTTAGCATAATGATTATCTCTAATATTTTCTGTTTATGGAAAGATGATTACGCCTGACTAATTTACCATATTTATGTAGGTTCATTCACATTCCCAAAAAAGAAGAAGAAGAGAATTTTACATTATTAGGTTTAAATTGTTATAAGGGATGATCATTTCCTCAAAATAACTATAGGTAGTTGTCATGTTATAACAAACAAATAACAGTATAGGCGGATTTAGTATTTTTAGTCAATGAGTACACTACTTAAAAAAAAAGAAAAAAATGTATTAAGTGAAAATTGGTCACTATTCTTTTTGCTAATAACTCAACCTTCAACCAAGCATACCATTCAATTTTTTGGAGTTATACCAATTTTAAAATATATATACATAAAATATTTAATTTCGTAAAAAAAAAAATCATGAGTTCACGTATCTCATAATTTAATCCACATCCCTGAACAACATACCCAGTATCATCTTACAGGTGAGGTTTAGGGAGGGTGGGATGTACGCAAACCTTATTCCTACTATGTATGGGATAGAAAAATTATTTTCGATATACCATCGGCTCAAAAATATCATGTTATAAGTAAACGATAACATATCATACTATTTCTGTGGTACTATAGGAAGACGAAGAGGGTCAGGGGCATATGTAGCATATACGTGACGAGTTCAACTAAACTCATAACTTTCGATACAGAACATAAATATATGTATAAAATCTACTAAAACTGTAACAAATACTAAATTTGAATTCATAGCTTTAAAAATATAATAAGCTCAATGCTAAAAATTTCAAAGACTGAACTCATAAAATTTAAACCATGAATTCGCCTCAAAAGGGTGCATACCTGAAAAAGACTGGAGAGTGCTTGAGCAGCAGCAAGGCGACCAATAGAACGAGAAGCATCAATGGCTATTTGTGAAGCCAAAGCCTCCAAAAATGGCTCCGGCCAAACACCATTTCCCCCACCTCTACGCCTCCGCGATGAAGACGGTCCACCACCAGTACCGCCTCCACCTCCATTATCGTCATCTCCTCCTCCGCCTACTTCTTCTGAAGACGACATATATGAGCTAATACAACAGCAATAGTAACTACACCTCAGTTACAAATAAGTTAGAGACTGTTCGGAATTTGGCTATATATGTAAGTAGTGTTAGCCAAAAAGGCAAGTGATGACTGTTGGGAAAGATCCTTCTAATTATATGTAATCAGAATATATAGAGAGAGAAAGTGGGATAAGAGATATAGAGGTGTTATTAGTCCTGCATTTTAAATATCAAAAATGCGTAAAATAAATGAAAATTGGGAGGTCTATTGAAATATTTCTAATCGCTGGTAAAGGCGGCGGAGAACATGGTCCGGACCATGCAGAGGTTTCAAAAATGGAACAACAACATGAGAAGAGACTGCTGGTCTGTTCCATTCTCCATAATCCTTTTCAGGTGTTCTTGACACGTCGACCTGCTCTTTAAATGGCATTGTGGTGCACGTAGCATCGTGTATTCACGTATTTTAAAAAGAAAAATACTAATTTAAGTAGTATAATGTAAATAGTCTATACTAATACAAATACAGTAGCGTAGCCACCTTAGCCAAGGGTGATCAAGTGCAGCACACCCTTCGCCAAAAAATTATAATGCGTGTATAAGTTAAATACTAATACTATTTTATATGGTTATATATTATATTTTGAACCCATAATACAATTGTGTGCGGCAGTCTAGCGGTTCAAGCTAGGCAAGTGATGAGTTATTCACGGGTTCAAAGTTCTACCCATTTTGTTTGCCCAAATTAAACGGAGACAACAATGTGTGGCTTATTTGTTTCTTTTTCAATTTAAAAAATTTCCTAATAAATAATTGTTAGAATTTAAAATTTATGCAAAAATAACCAACTAATCTTAAAAGTAATTTTTTTAAACTAAAAGCTATTTCTTAAATAAATTTTATAATTTAAAGCTCTACAAAAATTTCTTCAACAAAAGCTATCTACAAACTACAAATGCTCTCTGCTCTCTCTTTCTGTTGGTTTTATGTTACTTTTAGTAGTAAAATTTCTAATGTTGTCTTTTTGTTATTTTAATTTTGATTTATAAATTATAATTCTATTTTTTTTCTTTAATTTTTTAGCTAAACATTGAGTAGTTTGATTTTTAAAAAATTAGTACACCATTCATCGGAAAAAAAGGTTATTGACTTGTTTAAAGTTTAAACGCCGCCCTTAAAAGAATTCCTGCCTATGCTATTGTACAAATATTAATGGTTGACTCTACGATGCGAACCCCTCACCTATAAGCATAACTTTGTTGTTGCTCTATGGTTCCCCTACATGTTTCTTTCCCCTCAAGAAATAGAACTCCTTTATTTTGCTTTAACTCAAATTTCTACGTGATTGAATAAAGAAATTTATGAAAAAAGTGTTCTTGTGGGCGAATCTAGGATTTTAGTTCTATGGATTCAACATTTAAAATTATGGATTCATATTTATTATTTATTATAATTTTAGTAATTTTTTACACATAAATTTATATTTCGCGTTGAAAATATTGTGTTCAGTTGAATTCGATAGTTCTATGTTGCATCCGCCCCTCCTTATGGACCTTACCAATGGGAATAAGAAATAAAAGGAAAGATTTTGTACTTTCTTTTATTGCTCTTTTTGAGTATTGTACTTTGACATGTTTGAAATTGGAAATAGGACAATTATTTTTTTTTTACAATTACTATATGTCCTTGTGTACTAATGGAAAAAATCCATTTTCTTTTCCTTTCAATCTCTTTTTCCTGGATTTTATTGCTTTACTAACGGTGTACAAGTAAAAGGAGTCCCCTTACACCTCCAATTAAACAAATGATTAATGTGAAGCATGCTCCCTTTCTACTTCAATAAGTATGTAAGTAACTTTTTCTATTAATAGAAAGATGGTAGTTTACACATAGATAAATTAGACACATAAAAGAAATATGATTTTGTGCTTGTATGCAATGTGGAAGCCAGATTTTTCATTCAAGGTTGTCAAAATATTAAAAAAAATAACGAAGAAGGGCTGGTAAATGATTTAATTTTACTCTCCGTCCACCTTTTGGTCCAAATTTACATATAACATTATCTTTTAGTCTAAAATTACCCCGCGACCAACAGAATTTTCTGTGATCCTTTTTTAAATGTGCTAGCAACATATCATTAGAACACGTGACACCCCGATCCGAATTGATCTNATACCTCACAGTGAAATTTGAGAAATTTGTTGGGGGCGAAATCCCCATTTATAGGAAAAATATAATATACGCCCAAGTTCCAGAAGTTGCCGAATTGAAGAAGTCAATCTTTATCACCAATAATAATAATAATCATAATTAAGTCTAAATCCCAAAGAAATTGAGATCGACTATATAAATTTTTACTTCTTTCTTTAACCTCAATTATATCATTATCATACAAAATAAAATAGAAGTGCATCCATCGTTCCAATTATTCGGCTACTGAAAATATCTGACGGGGAAAAAGATGAAAAGCAATTCTTTCCCAACTCTGATCCTAATTTTAAGCAATAAGTAGCATCTCTTTAATTCAATGGGCAAAGTCCAATGCCATTTGTAAGTTAGATTTTAGAAGTATTCTTTTGATGTTTTCTGTGTTAAAGTTCCCCATTAGTTAAGGGCATGTATTGTTGATTTTTCTATATGGCATTAAATAATCTTGAGCTACCACTTGGTGCAGTCCAGTGCATAAGCAGAGGCGGATCCAAAATTTAAATTTTATGAGTTTAACCTTTAAAAAAATTGGTATTGAACCTATTATATTTTTAAAGTTATGGGTTCATATTTATTATTTAATGCAATTTTAGTGATTTTTATTCATAAATTTATGCTTCGTGTATACAGTCAAAATCGGGTTTGCCTACTTTTGTATGACTGACCGAAATCAAGGTGGAAGATCTAGGCTCGGCCTCGGTTATATCGGGTCATGGTACGAATATGGGTTGGTAAGCTCGTGGATCAATGGCTGATCAAGATCGAGACCAGCCGTGGTCGAGACCGAAGTAAGAAAGAAATCGAGCGAGATTGAAGGAAGCCTGCCAGGTCGAATAACAGAAAGCCGAGATATCCATGATCGGGCAAGGATCGTGGATGAGATCTCGGCACATATCAAGTCAGGACCGATTATTTAGCTCATCATGGGATTTACTTCCGTAATTAGAATTATACCATAAATAGGATTCTTCTACTATATAAAAAAGGTCTCAATCATCTTGTAAGGGAACAGACACATTGACTGATAATCAAGCAATATAATACATCTTTCTCTCTTATATTCTCTCAAGCTTTACTATTCGAGTTCATACTTTTTCAATAGCATATTCAGTTGATTCGAAGGTGATTTAGCTTGAGGGCCACAGTTGTTCATCATATCAGTTTGCTTTATTTTACTGTTAATTTCTATTATTAATTCTTACATTCATCAATTTGTGCCAAGTGAAATCACATGTCTTTAAAATCACTTATAAGTTTAGTTGTTATCCGATTTTAAGGGTAAACAGTTTGGCGTCCACCGTGGGGTTAACGATAATAGTGATTGCCTGGTACAATTTTCGTCACACATACTATTTTACGCTTGTTCTTTTAAGTGTCTTTGATTCTAGAACCAACATGTAAAACTCCCAAGTAGCACCCCCACACACAAAATGGCCTTGGTCTTCATGGAGAGAACAAAAACATAGCCGCCCCAGGAAATGGAGTACCCCTAGTCAACCCCGATGGAGTTCTGGCCGTGGACCCAATCGACATCAGCTCTCATATTGCCATTAATGGGAATTTGGGTGTCGGTCCTGAAAATAGCATCCGCAGAGATGCTCGAAAAGCCGATCAGAACGAACAGAGCGGTGAAGAAGGCGAGATTAGCCTTCGAATGATATTCGAAATGTTGCAGACTCAACAAGCTGCAATAGCACAACTCCAAAATCAGAATCGAGCACCAAGCAGGATCAAGCCCGAACCCTCACTAGAAGTTGTTCATAGAGCCGAACTAGTTCCGGAGAGGCCAAATGATAACGAATCGGGGTCTGCCCTTCCATTATGAAGATGCTTGAAGAACTCACAAAACGGATCGTATCGGGGGAGAAGAAAATTGAGGAAAATGACAAAACGGTAGAAGCATATAACTCCCGAGTTGATCAAATTTCGGGGGTACCACCGATATTGGAAGGACTAGATTCTAAAAAGTTCGTGCAAAGACCCTTCCCCCTAGTGCGGATCCGAAGCCAATCCCCAAGAAATTCTGTATGCCCGATATTCCCAAGTATAGTGGGATGACAGATCCGAATGAACACGTCACCTCATATACGTACGGGCATCAAAGAAAATGACTTGGAAGATGACGAAATTGAATATGTACTGCTGAAGAAGTCCGGGAAGACTCTATCGAAGGGTGCCTTAATATGGTATCATAACTTACCTCCCAATTCTATTGATTCGTTTGCTATGCTTGCAGATTCTTTTGTAAAGGCACACGCCGAAGCCATTAAAGTTGCTACGAGGAAGTCGGACCTTTTCAAGGTAAGGCAGAAAGATAACGAGATGCTCAAGGAATTCGTATCTCGGTTCTAAGCGGAGAGAATGGATTTGCCTCCGATCACTGATGATTGGGTTGTTCAAGCTTTCACTCAAGATCTCAACACTCAGAGTTCCATAGCTTCACAGCAGTTGAAGCAAAGTTTGATCGAGTACCCGGTTGTCACTTGAGTCGACTTACATAATCGATATCAGTCAAAGATCAGGGTCGAGGATGATCAACTGGGGACTCATTCGAGGTCATTTATCCTAGTAGGCCCATGGATAGGATCAAAAGGACATCGATTGAGAGACAAGGTCGAATAGAGATCGATATCAACCGTACAACAGAGATCGTAGAGACAGCGAGTCTGGGCGAAGCTTCGCACGAAATGAGAGGTGAAATGATCGAGGTCAAAATTCACGAGGGCTTAATGCTGAGGAAGATCACGTTAAATATCCAAAATCCGAATGAAGGTATGACCCCATTCCAATTATTTCTATTTTTTCGACT